CGACATGTAACTACTTTGTTCCTCTGGATCAGTGCGTGGCTTCCAATCCCAGCCCGCGGTTTGGTCTGTCCCAGTGTCAGCCGCCATGTGCTCTGCTCAAGAGGGAACTAGGCTTTTGTGAATTTTTTTGTACATAATTATTTGTTACAAATATTTTAGCAAATGCTTTCTATATCTCTTGCTTGTGCATATCTTGGCTGGCATTGTGGAAACAAAAAAATAGTGCAAACTATTTCCTTACTGGGGAATGAGGGTTTTTCTTTTTTAGTTTGTGTGAGGGAGGCGGGGAGGGCATGGTTTATGTTGAATGTTTAAATTTTCTTCTGCATGATACACGTCATGTTGTGAAATCTTTAGAGAACTTCATACTGTATGAGTAAGACAATAAAATATTTGAAACTTGCTTGGATGTGTTCTGTCATCTGTTACATCTATTACAGTTGGGAGGCCAGCCCATGCTTTCGGGTTTACAAACCTTGATACAGTGTTTTCTTGTTTTGAATCATAAGCTACAGGCAAAGTAACTGGAACAAACGAAAATGCTGATATTATCAAGTCCCCTGACTCCGCTTACCTCGCTGACCACTCACTTTCCCGACCCGGGCCTATTAGTGCTTTCGGGGTTTGGTTTACTTTTGTTCCACCCTTGTGTACCAGCCTCATTTCCAGTAGCCTTTAATGCCTTGTTCACCTGTGTTATGTGCTGGCTCAAAGGGACTTTTCTGATTGTCCTGGTGTAAAATGTAAATACTCTTGGGACCCCTTTACCTGGTCTCATTTCCTTTATTCCACAGCCTCCTCTTCCAAGCATATTTTGTCTTCCCTGCTTATAGACTAAAAATCAATGCTTTACACAGTGGCAGTTTGCTTGTTTGGCATATGCCCACTTTTCCAGAGTATCACCTGGATTTCGGTGTGTGATCGTTATTTCGGAAATGAACTGGTACGCAGTTCTTGGCTTACACATGTTGTAATTGCATTTAACTTCACACTAAGCCAGGCTGGTGACAATCTTATAAATGCAGCTGTTTTATAACTTCCATTTTTGAGAATTGTTTTTTCAGGTGGGGTTACTCTGTGTAACCCCAGCTGTCACGGAACTTGTTCTGTAGACTAGACTGGCCTGGAACTCAAAGATTCTCCCTGCCTCTGCCTTCCCAGTGCTGGGATGGATTAAAAGCTTGTGCCACCATGCCTGGCCTATTTTTGAAAGTACTGCAGAATTCTTAATGTGTTTAGCACTGTAATCGGGTTGAGAAACTCATGGTAGGTAAGTGAAGTCCCTTACCCAAATGAGTTGTGGGGTGTTGGGTATTTTAACCCAGAACATACATATGTATTCACAGATTTCAAGATATGTGTGCACTGAATAGTGGGCTCCACACTGTCGAGGATCTGAAGAGAGAGAGCCTAAGAAAATGACTTCAGAATGAAATGGAAACTCTTTAAAAGGTAGAAATATTTGTAAACTATATAGAAAAATAGGGATTGATAATCAAACCTGAAGGTCTACAGAACAGCAATAAAACACCTAATTAAAATATGGGCAAAGGACTTGAACAGACAGTGTAGATGCACATGCAGCCACTAAGCACAGGAAATGATGTTCAATAGCACTGTCATTAAGGGAATGCAAGTCACAAATCCATCTGTTTTACAAGCTTTAGACTGTAACTTCTTCCTCTCCTCCAAAAGCTAGAAAAACAGTATGGGAGAGAGACTTGGCCACCTCTTTAGTTACTACTGAATTAGGGGCTCAGTTCTGGCAGCATTGCACCAGCTAGAGGCTGGCAGCAGTCCAAGTATTCTGCCAAGAATAAACACTGCCACAGGAAGGAACAACCTGACATATTTCCTAACATGGATAAACCCTGTTACGTGAAATAGCTCTACTTTTATATTGATATAATAAAATTACGGGAGATGAATGAAATTTGTGCCAAGGGCAACAGGAAGAAATGCAATTAGCATTAAAAACTTAGTAGAGCATCAGAAGACAGAAAATTATGATGGTTGCACATTAGTTACAAAGTTGCATTATCTACAATTAACACTGATTAATGTGGAAAGCTGTATTTCAGAAAAGAATTTTATTTTACATGCATTGGTGTTTTGCCATGGGTTTCAGGTCCCCTAAAACAAGTTACAGACAGGTGGGTGTTGGGAATTGAACCTGGGTCCTCTGGAAAAGCAGTCAGTGTTCTTAGTCATTGAGCCATCTCTCCAGCCCTCAAAAAGTTTTTTAGTGAAGAATGTTTTAGAATGAAAGGTGTGGACAAGATGTTAAAGATTTACTTTCTGTGTAGTTCTCAGGATGTACAAAGTAGTGTTCACGTCTTGAGGTGTTCATCTGTGTCTTTAAAACGCCCCCACATTCCAGGTTCACAATGATGTAGGGCTGTAAGGCCTGTTGCAACCTTTCCCATCAGCTAAGCCATCCAAATGAGAGTTCTAGAGATTCTGGTTTTCTTTGGCCAAATAAGTAAAACTTTCCTAAGACAGGTATTTTGCAGCTTTCAGAATGGCTATAGATGCTTTCAATAATGTAACAGTGTATTGCTCCAATCATAACATGGCTCTTAGAACAGTAAAGTCTGTCTCCAGGTGCTCCACTATCAACTTTCATCCCTATCACTATTGCTAGGCAGACACAAGAGCTGGAGCCCCAATATAAGAATTACCAGGTTGTACCATAGCTTACCTAAGAAAATCAGTTCTCTTTTAACCCAGACAATGTAATAATAAGTAAAGTATAGTTAGAGTTGTGAAAGACGCTGCGGATCCAAAATTGGCCTTCCAGTTAGCAGGCTAGTTCAGTAGCAAGGCAGGGCCACAGAAACTGAGGTTTCGGGTTGGCTGTGGTTTGCTATCACTGGAGATGTTAAGGGAGTGATTTGGTCCAGGTTGCTAAGATAAACTACCAGCAAGATGCGGTCAAATTGCTTTCCATTCATTCATTCACATTCCAAGAGTTCTTTAGCATTGTCTCCTTCTGATTGCATGGTGCTTGGGAAGGAGGAATAAAAACACTTTAACATAGAAGCTCACTCACACTTTCTCAGGCAAAAACTATGTTACTCTGTCTCAGTTCCTTAGAATTAAACACAAAACACTGACCGTTACCCAGCCACCGATCACATTAGACATTTGAAAAGGCCATAGACGTGATTTCCCAGAAAAGCCACGTCATCACAATTAATCCCTCTCACTGGGCATGTGTTTGTACCTCCTACAGGCTCTATAGACTCCAGAATAGAGAATTCCCAACATATCCTCCTTTCAGTGAGGTTTGATAATATTTTCTCCTTTGGTGGGAAACTCCAGCAATTTCCTGTTGGTAGACAGTATATCCAAGGTACAAAGCAGCTTGAGTAGTTAGCACTACCGGTAAGAGGGAACCCAGACTTGCCTGGCGATGGTGGCAAGCACTTTTAATTCCAGCAGTTGGGAGGCAGAGATAGGCAGATCTCTGAGTTCGAGGCCAGCCTGGTCTACAAGAGCTCCAAAACTAGAGAAACCCTCTCGAAAAAACAAAAATAAAAAATTAAGAAATTAAAAAAAAAAAAGGGGGAACCCAGACTCAACAAAAACTAAGCAGGGCATGGATGGCACACATTTGTAACCCCGACTGGCACATGGGACGCTGAGGCAGCAGACTGTCCCAAGTTTGGGGCAAGCTGGGTTGCACGGTGAGTCATAGGCCAGCCTGGACTAACTACATAACCTGTCTCAAAAGTCAAAGAAGAACTGAAGAGATGGCTCAGTGGTTAAGAGCACTTGCTGCTCTTCCAGAGGATTAGAGTTTCAGCCCCAGCAACCACATCAGGCTTACAACCACCTGTAGCTATAGCTCCAGGCAAACCCCTATACACGTGTGGCAGGCACCCACCCACCCACCCCCTTACACCCTCATACACATGTGGCAGGCACCCCCCCCCCCACGCCCCTATACACATGTTGCAGGCACCTACACACACCCCTATACACATGTTGCAGGCACCCACACACACATATACCCCTATACACATGTGCAGGCACCTGCACACACACACACCTATATACATGTGGCCGGCACCCACACACACCCCTCTTTATTAGAATAAAGAGTATTCCTGTGGCAGGAATACACACACATACACACCAACTTACTAAAATTTATGCTGGATGTGGTGGTGTACACCCTGAATTCCAGCACTCAGAAAGCAGAAGCAGGGGAAGTTCTGTGGGTTCAAGGCTAGCCAGGGCTACACAGTGATACCTATCTCCAAACACACACACCCCTCTTTATTAGAGCTGGCTCAGTGCTAAAGATTGCTGACCTTTCAGACTTATTCCCAGAAATCATGGTTCACAACGTTCTCTGTTAACACCAGTTTGAGGAATCTGATCCCGTTCTGGTGTCTGGGGATACCAGGCACATACATAGTGCACATACCCAATGCACAAAACACTCATAAATACTTAGCAATTTTAAAAAATTTTTTAAACATTTACTCCCCAGCCCCCCAAGACAGGGTTTCTCTATGTAGCTTTTGGAACCTGTCCTGGGATTTGCTCTGTAGAGCCAGGATGGCCTCAAACTCATAAAGTCTGCCTCTGCCTGCAGAGTGCTGGGATTAAAGGCGTGCACCACCACCACTTGGCTCAAAAAAGTACTGCTACTTTTAGTTATTTCCTGATACTCCAACCATTGTTTTGGCCAGGGCCTTTGAGAAACAAAAGAATGTAGTATCTAAATCATGTTTAATAAAGTAGGTTCTAAACAATATAAGAAACAAGTAAATCCACATATACAGACACTAGTTATAAGAATACACTGTTTGCAAAACTGTTCTTGGGAAAATGGCTTTACGTTCATCATTTACATGAGAAGCCTTGTGATGTAGGCTTCATAAATTGCACTGAGTGCAAAGCTGAGCACGTAAGGTTCAATAGCACAGACTAGGGCCATGCCCCAATTCTGAAGCAGTCACGTCGGTGCCCTGTAGCAGGGACAATGATTCACAAGTCTTCGGAGATTTTAATGAAAATTTTCAGAGAAAAAAATGCTGTAATTTTATTTACAAATCTGTCTGTAAATGACAAATTACAAAGTTGCCTGTAAATGACAGGATTTTAAACTGTGAATCTGCCACATGGGATTAAGGGAAAAATACAGCAATTTATACTTAATGTATTAAGTATTACAAGTATTACATTTTGATATTTAAATTATCCTAGAAGCAGCGGAGTACAAGTCCTGTTAAACCTCTTCTTTCTGCTTCTGCTCTGGCTGAGACGTGAAAAGGAACCTGAGCTGTAGGCAGCTGGGAGATCATCCCCTGGTTTTATGTGTGCATCTCAAGGGTCGGAGGAGAATCAGAACCGGTCCGCTGCTCTGCTGGCCACTGCTCGGATATTGCCATACACCTTTGATGGAAGATTTCCTGTTCAAGAAAAAAAGCAGATTATATATACAAATATATTCAAATACACAGAACTACACAGAAGACAAATACTTTGCACTGCTAAGAGAAGTCAGTTGTAAAAATAGCATTTCAAAAAGCCAGCTAGCCAGACCTGAACACCAGAGAAAAACCCCCAGTTCTCTGAGCAAATTGCTGACTCTAGAACTAGATTAAATCAAGTTGCTGGATGTGTTCAGCAGCCCCCATTTTGTAGAACCTAAACTGTTCTGTTATATTTGGAATAGCTTTTCTGTGTAGAGATTTAATGAGATTAGCCAAGGAACCCTTTCTCTTCCCTAACAGATAGAATCTAAGTGAAATATTCCTGTTTTTCCCTCCTTTACCAGCTCTTTGACTTCCGTTTGGTACTTTAACAATATGAAAGCTGCTTTGTAAGTAAGGCTTGAATCCTTCTATTCCCTAAGCAGAGGAAACACCAAGGAAATAGTAAACTGCTGTTACCTAGGATAAGGTTGCAAATGGCAGTTCTCGCCATCTTGATGTTCTGGAAAGAGCCGAGAATGTGAACTTTCCTGAAAGAAGCAAATGAGTCAGGTTAGCCACGAAAGCCATGTCAGCACCGAATCCTGGGAAACTGAGAACTCTGGAAACCGCAACAGATC